TATAATTGCTATCAATTAAATCAGATAGCACAGCGGTAGGGCATTTGCCTTGTGTGTGGCCAGCTCGGCCAAGCCGCTTTATATTTACTGACAATGTTTCTTTTAGATAAACTTTTATTTTCCTTTTACACCCCTTCAGTATTAATGTTTAGAGATCTTGCTTTAGAACTAAAGTCCCTTTAAAAAGTACCTCCTTAGAATCCTATAAATACCAATCTAAAGAACCTCATTCTACCAGTGCTCATATATGACTCAACTGTGTTATACTCAAACAGAGGTTTGCTAGCAAAATCAGTAGATTGATCTTCAGATTAGTTCATTTTTGTAGATTCAAATGCACTTTAAGTTTTTGTGGAAGATGAGAGTGACAGTACTCATCTGAGGAAATACTATGCTTACATCAGTTAGCATAGTACTGGGCACACGAGTATTCTTCAGGAAATCAGCTTCATCAGACGTCTGGGAGTGGCCCAAAAAACAAAAAACAAAAAAAAAATAGAAAAAAAATGAAAATTAAAAAATCACTGGCTATAGAAAAGAATTAATTGAATCAGCCTAAAATCTGATTCATCTTTAGACTAGAGAGAGTCAAAATAAGAGATAGACAACACTGAACATTGATCATTGACAAACACTTGGCACTGAAATACAAAACCAAATAGTGGCAAGGAGTGTGGAGAGAAAATGAGACTAGAAGATGGATTGTGAGAACTTTTTGTAGGGGCAGGGGCTAGTAATTTTGTGTATGGATATCATGAATTTGAACGTTAGTGTTACTTCCCAAACTATAATGATTAAAAATTGATCATTTAATCTAGGCATTCTCACACATTACATTAGTTTTGCCATTACATATTTCATGAGAAAATATCATTAAGTTAAATTAATTATTGACCCTATGATATAGGGTAATGTCATTCTGAACTTTAATGGTTTATACTAAAAACTTTTACTGCTCAAAAATAAATAAAACAAAATAAGAGAAATTTGTTAAGGAATCCTTACTCTTAGGATAATTAAATTTGCTTAATTAAATTAGATGAATAAATTATCCTAAATTATCCAGTGACCCAGGGCACATCACTGAGAATAGACTGGAAGTAAATGAAAGACCTCCAGAGAGTGTAGAAAGTAAAGTACCCAGCCTTGGAGATATCTACTGAGTTCCTGACTTGAACCACCCACTACGTTAAACAGTGCTTTGAAGATATTCTAATGGCAACTTAATATAATAATGGCTTCTCCATTATTACCCAAGAAAATTGTCATATCATTATTTTTGTTGTGTTTTTCTTTTCTTTCAGGCTAGTTATTAAAATCAACAATGAAATTGTGAGAATTAGTTCTTTACCCTCCTCATTCTTTCATACCCATAGAACCACTTCTCAGGCCCCAGTTTACATGGAACATGGAGTTCCTCTCCACCCAGCAGCATCTCAGACCCCGTAAGTCCAGAGCAGAATTTCACCTCATAGCAGTTTGCTGTTGGTGGGGAACAAAGTGTAGGAAAGAACCACATAGAGTAACTATTCACTTCAGAGAATTACTACCTAAGAAGGTATTATTAGTTAAAACCTATTAGTACAACAACAAATTTCTAGATCAAATTCTGTTGTTTTTTTACTTTCCTTATTATTACATTTCTATTTTACTACTATCAACAATTTACAGTTTATAACAAAAAAAGAACTAGATCATATTCTTATTTACTTACCTGTTCCTCTCTAGAACCTACAACAGGTCTTATTCACATTTTTTTTGTTATCTCTGAGAAAACAAAGAAATGTGAACAGCCCTTGAGTTACAGTAAGTGTTTGCTAAATCACAAAAGTCCTAGCTTGAAGGAAGGAATGCTCAGGTTTCCTAGAATGCCATTTTGACATCACTGGCGGCAGCCCCTGGTCATGTATTTGATGGTATAAAAATGGAGAGCTTTCAAATAATAGATTCCCCAGCTCTGAAATTCAGTCCATACAGCAGCCACTTTTTTAATTCATCATGGTCTTATAATCAGTAATCTTACTATAAAGTCTTGAAATGAATGACCAGGGATGGAGAAAGTGTTAGGATCAGTATTTCTTTAATGATTTAGGGATTATTGGACATTCATTTTCAACTATTTGTAATTGAAGTCTTGAAATAATGGAATTTATTAGAGAAATGCCTCATTCACCCTTGTATAATTTGAACATACTGAAATGGCATATGTGAACTCATAAATCGTTTGTGTGCACAAAGGGATAATATATCACTCCACCCCTCATTCACTCAGTGCTGGGGGAAGAAAGGCATGCAAGTATGAGTTATAGCTTACTCGACAGTAACCCATAACTTCACATCTTACACTTCCCAGAGGCTTTTTTTTCCTATAACCTTCATATTATTTATACTTGCTGGTCGTTCGTTGATAAAAGACACTTTTATCATAATGGCTTTTTATCAAGGCTTTCTTATATTTATTTTTCAAAACACTCAAATGTTTTACACAAAGTCACTTTCAAGTAGTCAAACATTACTGTCTTGGTTTGTATAGACAAAATGGTCCAATGCTTCAAATGCATGTTGTGATTAAGCACATGGTCTCCAATGCACCAGCCAGAAATGATAAACGTGTTTTTAAAAATCAGATTAGATTGTTTCTTAGGTTTTATGTATAAAGGTGATATCTTCTTATTAGAAAGAACACTTGAATTTCTTATTACAGTTTCAATATCTAGAAAATACAAACATTGTGTTTTTTATCAAGGCAAGCATCTACTTTAAAGCATTTGATTTTCAGAACTATTTCTGCTTTTTACTAATTGAAGTTACTTTCAACTCCAAGTCTTTTTTATGTTGATTTAAATCACAATCTATTGAGGTTTATACTTTATATATGTAATCTTTGGGTACTAGACTTTTCTCTCTTTAAGAAACACTTAGAAAATAGCATATAAATTAATGGATATCAATATAATAAGTATTATATGCACATATATATTATGTTTGATTACATTTGGAGTTCATCTCATGTTAAATTTTTTTGTAAAACTGTTTGGGTGTGACCATTATATGAAGCTTTTTTATTATTCCCAGAAATACTGGGAAAAAGATTGGATATTTAATTGGGTATATGAAAATAATTGTCATGCCCTAATTATTGATGTTGAACCAGCAACATCAGCATATCTTGGAAACTTGTTAGAAATGCTGGTTCTGAGATTGCATTCTACCCCCATACTTGCAACAGCAAAATCAGAAATCACATTTTACAGACTCCCAGTGACACAGTAAAGTTTGAGAATCCCAGCTCTGAACAGAAGTTTATTTATGCCACTTTGAGATTCATTAATGATTCTTGTATCCTCCAATTACTTTAGAGGCAAAATAACTTGAACATTAAAGGTATCCCAATCACCATGCTACTTTGCCTATCTCATGTAGTAAAATAAAACAAAATGATATTTTCTGAGGATAATGAAGTTTGTTGGTGGAAAAAATGAAAAATATTATAAGTAGCTATCATTGCCTGGAGAAAGAAAAAAAAGAAAGTGTACAACAGTAGTAGTCAGTCAGGCTAAGAGAAGGTATAGTTTGCAAATAGGAGGAGTATGCTCTAGAGCAGGGATGATGGACACAGGATTGTCTTCAAAACAACTAGAAACATTTATTACAGTAAGGGATTTAACCAGTTAGGAAAAATTTATTTGGAAGTGGAATAGTGAATATGCTGGAAACTCATACTGATTTTCACTCATCTCCTTTGGAACAAAGGTCAAAATATGTCTATTCACATATAAGCTAAGCCTGTAGCTTAGAAGACATACAAATGTATGTTACTTTGTATGAATCCAAGTCTTTCTAGTGGATAATTTTTATACCCTTAGTACTGGCGTTTAAAAGTATATTTCTAATAAATAACCAAGTATTGCCTTTGCATTTTTTTCTTTAAGGAGCAGGATTCCGTATGAGTCAATGGAAAAGAATGTGAGAATATATTTGGGGACGAGAGAAATCAGTTTATAATATTGCATCTAATCTGATATAATAACTGATAAATTATGATTAACCTAATTAGTCTGTTTAGTTAATGAGCATTACTGGCACATTTTAATGGCACTCAAAACTGGGTCTTGTGAAAAAGACTTAGAAGATGAACTTAAGGCAATTTACCTGGATATTAATATTCTAAGTGAAAATTATCTGTTGCTACATGCATGATAAATTACCCCAAAATACAGTTTAAATATGTCATTTCACAGTGTCTAAGGGTTAGGAACCCAATTTTCCCTTTAACCCAAGCCCACAGCTTGACTTGCAACCTTAGGAAAGTTCTTTTTCCAAGGGCAAGTAGCTGTGACCTCACTCACAAGTTCAGTTTCTCCTTACCTAGCCTTTCCGCAGAGCTGCCCTGTGCCTTGGCATCTATCTTCTACAAAGCAAAGAATCAAAGATCTGCCAGAGAAAGGAAGCATGCCCAAGATGAGAAGTGATAGAATATAGAAGAAGCAATGCAAAATGCCACTTCCAATATTTGACTCTAAGTAGACTATTTATTAGAGCAAGTCAATACATTCAACCCACACTTACGGGAGAGAATCAAACACAAACGGGAATACAAGGAGGTGGAGATCACTACAGACTGGCCATAATTTTCCCTCTTCTTCCACATTTTCTAGTATGTCTACATATTTTGGACATATATTATTCAGCTAAAAGGTAATAAAAGTGTTAAAGATAATAAATCAAAGAGAAAATAATTTCTCAGAAATGTTGATCAGAAAAATCACTCTTAGTAAAATAATGGCTTTGGCTTGACACAGGGTTTATTCACGTCCTGCCTGGCCATGTATTAGATAGTGTCATGAATACAAGTCTGAGATCTTTAACCTAATGGGATTCTGTATAGCTTTCACGTTTTTACATTGAAAAGTGTAAAGCAAAAGCTCTCCAGGTGGTAATATGAATATGTCAATCTGTCTCAGCCACCTGTAAGTCTCCTCCTTTCTATGTTCCAACAGTATGCTTGAGAGTTCAAACCGGCTTGATGAAGAACACAGGCTGATTGCCAGATACGCGGCGAGGCTGGCGGCGGAGTCCACTTCTTCTGTAAGTAGTTTGAGAGGATTTTTTTTTATCTTCATCATTGGTGCTCCAGGAGCGTAGCTGTAGAGTCGCTCCGGTGTGACCTACAAAACCTAAAACAATCTGTTCTTCTAATTTTTACTTTTCAGCTCTCATTTCTGGTATGGCTAAACATAACTTCTCATTGATGAGGAATTAAAGAGCAAAGCTATGTCCCAGGCCCACAACAGACTCAGAAATCCCCAGTCTAATCAATATCTAAAATAGATACCAGGAAGAGAATTTTTTGTGGCAAAAATCAGAATAAACACCTTGAAAACAGGAGGTTGGGTAGATAGTGCAGCAGGTGAGGCACTTGTCTTGCACACAGCAAACCTGAGTTGCATCTCCAATACCTCATATGCTCCTTTAAGTCTCTCCAGGAATAAGATAAGCCTTGAGCATAGTTGGGTGTGCCCCAAATACCAAAACAAATCAAGAACAACAACAACAACAAAAAAAACCATGGAAAACAACCAAAGTTTCCTCTAAGTCTTACTTACCTTACAGTTAGGTCAGTTAGGATATAAAACTTAAGTCCTGAAAATTAATGCTTTTGTCTTTGTTAAAAGAAATGCCAGGGGCTGGAGAGCTAGCACAGCAGGTAGGGCATTTGCCTTGCACGCAGAAGACTCGTGTTCAATTCCCAGCATCCTATATGGTCCCCTGAGCACCGCCAGGAGTAACTCCTGAGTGCAGAGCTAGGAGTAACCCCTGTGCATCGCCAGGTGTGACCCAAAAAGGAAAAAAAAGAACAAAAGAAATGCCAACTAAAAATTACAGAGAAGTTTTATGAAAATTAATTATTTGCCATGCTTAGTTTTTTACCAGGCTTAATCATTCTAAAATCAGGTTATTATACTTTAAAAAAAGTGGGCTGAGGGTCTAGAGTTATAGTACAGTGGGCAGGGTACTTGCATGTGACCAACCTGGGTTTGATCCCAGGTATCCTATCTGGTCTCTGAGCCTGCCAGGAGTAACCCCTGAGCATCCCTGGGTGTGGACCAAAAAAATAAAACAAAAAACAGTTGAGCTTCTCCATGGTTTTAGGATTATACAGTTGATGCCATTTCTAAAAGTGTGGCATGTTTTGCTATAAAAATTAACTATGAAAAATTTCCACAATATGCTTTATAACCAAAGAAACCACAAAAGGCTAGGTACATGGAAGCATATATAATTGACCCTGAAGTGCACTGCACTGCACTGTCCTCCCTTTGCTCATCGATTTGCTCAAGTGTGCCCAATAACGTCTCCATCGTGAGACTTGTTGTTATTGTGTTTGGCATATTGAATACGTCATGGTTAGCTTTCCAGGCTTTGCTGTGCGGGCCAGATACTCTCAGTAGCTTGCCGGGCTCTGAGAGGGGCGGAGGAATCTAACCTGGCTCAGCCGGGCTGGCTGCACGCAAGGCAAACTCTCTACCACTGTGCTATCTCTCCAGCCCCTGCTATTGTTCCAGCCCCTAAAATGCTCTAGTCATCTGGCAACTACAGTTAAATCACCCAGGGGCTGGAGCAATAGCACAGCAGGTAGGGCGCTTGCCTTGCACACGGCTGACCCGGGTTCAATTCCCAGCATCCCATATGCTCCCCTGAGCACCTCCAGGGGTAATTCCTGAGTGCAGAGCCAGGAGTAACCCCTGTGCATCACTGGGCATGACCCAAAAAACAACAACAACAAAAATACAATTAAATCACCCACCAAAAAGTAGAATTTGAAATTACAAAAAATGGTCATCTAACCTTAATGTTTCCTACGTTTATTCATAACAATGAGACTCACATATCTAGGTAATTATCTTTTTTAAACCAATTACGTCTACAGTGAAGAAAAGTAGTAAAACAACATCTCTCTCACCAAAAGGAAAAGTATCTTTTTTTTAAACCAAATTAAGTTTTTTGGATTTTTTTTGTTTTGTTTTGTTTTTGCTATTTGGGTCACACTCGGCAATGCACAGGGTTACTCGTGGCTCTGTACTCAGGAATTACTCCTGGCGGTGCTCAGGGGGCCATATGGGATGCTGGGAATCGAACCCAGGTCAGCCACATGCAAGGCAAACGCCCTCCCCAGTGTGCTATCGCTCCAGCCCCCCAAATTAAGTTTTGAACTTTCTGAGCTTACATTCTAAATCTCCTCAACTTTCTAGTTTTCTAACAGCTTTAAGCACTTGTAAATCTGTAACTGTGAAACTATCACAAATCAAAACTTGATTAAGACTAAGAGAAGGGAACATGGGCCTATTGAATAAACTTCCAATGGAGAGAAATGAAAAATATAAATGAAAAGATAGTTTTTTCCTCCAAATCTAGAGGGTAAAGGTAAAAAAAGGTAAAGGCCCTCCCGTTGATCGTCGATTTGCTCGAGCGGGCCCAGTAACATCTCCATTGGAGACTTTGTTGTTACTGTGTCTGGCATATCGAATACTCTCGGTAGCTTGCCGGGCTCTCCGAGAGGGGCGGAGGAATCGAACTCGGGTCGACCATGTTGGCCGCTTGTAAGGCAAACGCCCTACCCGCTGTGCTATCGCTCCAGCCCAAAAAAAGGAAGGGAAGTAATTTCCAGAGGAGGGAAGTAATTTCCAGTTTCCTTTAATACAGATAATCTATTCATTATTTCTATGCCCTAAGTCTTAGGTAAGCTTCCTTCAAAACAACATAATTTACCCTATTCTCATAAAATAATGGTAAACTAATCTTTGATTAAATACATACACTTGTACCTATAAATATTGCATACAACTATACATACACATAAAACTACATATTAATAATCATAGAGTTTATTTGTGGGCCAGAGAAGTAGTATGGGATAAGGTTCCTAGCTTGTATGAAGGTGATTTAGATTCCATCTTCTGTACCACGTATGGTCCCCCAGCTCCTCCAGGAGTAACCCCTGGGCACAGAGACAAGAGTAAGCCCTGAGCTCAGTGGAGTATGGCTCAAAAGTCCCCTCAAAAAGTAATTAATTTGTAAGTATATACTTTTAGATGTGGCTTTATATATATATATATATATATATATATATGTATATATCTGTATATACATGAGTTGGTAAGACACAAAATGAGCATGACACAAATTGAGGTAATAAATCCAGAAAAATTATATGTATCTATGTATGTATATATCACTATCACGATCACAACCATCCTGTTGTTTGTCGATTGCCTCGAGCAGGCCCCAGTAACATCTCCTTTGTCCTAGCCCTGAGATTTTTTTTTTTAAAGTGCCATATTTAAGGCTCTTTCAGGGTTAGGAGAATGAGACCCATCATTGTTACTGGTATTTGGCATATTGGGTATACCACGGGGAGTTTGCCAGACTCTGCCATGTGGGCAGGTTACATTCAGTAGCCTGCCAGTTTGTCCAAAGTAGGAATGAGATGATAAGATATTGCATGACCGCAAATGTGGCCGCTCGCTTCCGGGAGCTGAGTGTGATAATCTCTGGATCCTGGCCGTTGTTGGGGTTACACGGCAGTTGGTGGGTGTAACTGTCTAGCTACTGGCAGGTCCAGTCCCAAACCGTGCAGGCTTGGAGATCTCAGCCCCAGGTCCCACACACCTGGGTTCCTCTGCCAGTTCTTTTATGGGTGAGGCTCATCCAAGTGTGTGGAGATATGTAAATTTATAGTAATGAAGCTACATATATGTGAAATAATGTCACAGGATGTTAAACAAAATACCCATCTAAATTTGTTCAGTATTAACAGCTTTGTAATGGTCTATTTCACCGTGATTTAATAAAAAAAAAGTTTAAAAATATATAAAATTTTCATATTAATAGGTTCTAATCATATATAAAAGTGATTGAACATCTGGTTTAGATAAAAATTAACTCAATAGTCATATATTTTTGTTTTTGTGCCATTCTCCTTGGCTGTGCTCAAGTGCTACTCCTTATTCAGTACTCTGGAGTAATTTCTGGCAGTGCTTAGGGGACCATGCAGTGCCAGTTACCAAGACCAAGGCTTCTACATGCAGAGCTATAGATCTTTGCACTATTTCTGCAACCCTGCTAGAGTATTTCAAACCCATCTAAACTGAGAAAGTAGTTGCACTGGAAATAGCATAGCAACAAATGACATAAATTATAAAAGATTTCATGAGAGAAATCTAAAAAATATATATACTTTCCCCACATTTGGTGTATTTGTCTCCGAGAGAATTCTGTTCTGCTTTTCATTGCAGAAAGTACTCCAGGGCAACAGAAAGGCAAATACAAAAACAGAAAAGCTGTTCCTTAGAAGAAGAAAGGGGCTTCATTTTGATAGTTATTTTCTTTTTTTCCGCATGACTCATAATTCTTGTCTTCTCAGACCCACATGGTTTGCCATTCCCAACAGTAACTAGTATTAAAAACATGTTTTACAGCAACCAACTCAGCAGAGAAGTGCTCCTGACATCTCCTTCACCATTGATGCAAATAAGCAGCAAAGGCAGCTGATTGCAGAACTAGAAAACAAGAACAGGTAAAGTTTTTAGACATGCTAGCTTTTTAAAAAGTGTGACTTTTATTTTTTAAAAAAAGTGCATTCATCAATAACTTATAGTTATGGTCTAAAAGATCTGATTTGTCTTTCACCAAATTGCATATTAATGCATGTTAAATCACTGACTCTACATGTTGTGTCTTTGACTTCTGAAAATCTGTAGATGTTAGACCATCATAAACTTAATGAGAAAACTATGTAGTTCTGAGATTTCAGTGACATTACTGCTATCTCTTTAGAGCCTCATTTCCTTTTTTCTTATCTACATTTTTGTTAAGGAGTCACTTAATACAGAAGGATCTTCTTAGGAGTTAGTAGGAAAATATCTCTGCTATCCAGTAACAGGGAGAAGGTGGGTGGGTTAGGGGTGCCTACATTGAATGCAAGTTAAAAGAGGATTTGATCTCAGCCATTCAAGAGGATTTGAACTCACCACTCAGTTATTCCTGCCAGACATCTCATTCCCAGCACTGCGTATGGTTTGCCATTTGACCTGTCTGTTTCAAGGGAGTTTAAGGAACAATCCTATGGTTTAAAAGTATGGTCACGGTCCTCCCGTTGTTCATCAATTTGCTCAAGTGGGCCCAGTAACATCTCCATCATGAGGCTTGTTGTTACTGTGTTTGGCATATCGAATACATCACAGGTAGCTTGCCAGGCTCTTCCGTGTGGGCGAGATACTTTTGGTAGCTTGCCGGGCTCTCTGAGAGGGGCGGAGGAATCGTACTTGGGTTGGCCATGTTGGCCGCTTGTAAGGCAAACGCCCTACCGCTGTGCTATAGCTCCAGCCTATGGTTTAAAAGTATAATTGATATATAACATTAGTTTTAGGGGGATAGCATTATTAGTAGATCTTTGTAAACATTGCAAAATAATCACCACAGTAAGTCTAATTTTTATTTGGCATACATAGCACAATTTTTTTCTTGCAATGAGGACTTTATAGATAGTAACAGTATTGCCTAAGAGCAGATCTTAAGTCACCAGGCTATTTGAAATTCCTGTCTTTTACATCCCCAGGATTTATGTCATCAGCATTTTAACTCTGACATATTTGTGAAACAGACAGTTGTAAATCAGCCTTTCATATGCAAAACCATCTGTTTCCTCACCCAAGTTCACCTGACATTCTCGGTGCTTTGTTCTGTGTTATTGGCTCTTGTGCATTTTGTTGGGTGGGGGACTGACCCTTTCCACCAAGAACACATGACTCATAACCTTGCCTAATGGCTTCTAATGTACTTAGGGATAATTTGCTTGCACAGATCACCTTTCCTTCATAAATGGCCTAATGTTCGCCTCAGTGCAGGCAACCATGGCCCCAACATCAATAACAAACTGACACCTCTGCCCCTGGCAGAGGTCACACCAAGAACACTCCTGTCACAGACTCTATTATAGTGAATCCTTTTAAAAGCACTTTCCTTCTAAAGCTTCCTTCATTGAGACCCACAGATAAGGCTGAAAAACGTTAAGAAAAAGAAAAAAAAATTTGCCTTCCTGGAGGCTTGTTAGAAAGATTCAGTGAGAAGAATGGGGTGATTTAGTCTTGTGAAATGAGCCCCATTCATCCTATTTTCTCTCCAAGTACCTCTTACTTGGTAGCTGCAGGTACTTATGCTGCCAGACCGGATCATAAATAATAGAAAGATAGCTTTTTGTCTTCTAAGCAGTGTACTTTTCAAAGTGGAGAATTATATTACTTATCACCAGGACCTAATAATCTCTCTAATAACACTCAGCTTTGAGGCTCCTAAGATTTACCACCAACTCCTAAGAATTTGGGCGTGCTGGAGATGGAGTCAGCCGCCTCTACCTACAGCAGCCAACAAGCTATACAGTCCTTGGAAGCACGGTTGTTTAGGGAGAGCCAATTTGGTTCCTAGGAGGAATCCTTCATTCTTTGTTCTCATAGCTTTGGTATGCTCATATGTTAGTTGCTGGATATCCTGATTGTAACTGACCCTGGCTTACCTTCCTCCTCTCTCCCAAGAGAAATCTTACAGGAGATCCAGAGACTGAGGCTGGAACATGAACAGGCTTCTCAACCCACTCCAGAGAAGGCCCAACAAAACCCCACTCTGCTGGCAGAACTCCGGCTCCTCAGGTAAGAGATGGATCCCAAGGGCTCAGGATATTAAGGATCTTCAGCGGTCCAACAGTGGGTAGCCAGAAAATAGTCCTTGCCACCACAGTTACTAACATTTGCTTTTTTTTTAATGGCACACACCTAATTACTAAGGGATCTGGAACAAAATTGTTTATACTTTACTCTTCTGTTTGACAAAAGGAAAGGAAGCAATATTCTCTCTTTTTTTTCACTTTATTTCAACACGTGATTTACAGAGTTGTTCATGATGTATTTGTTATAGACACTCTGTATTCCAACACAATCCCACCCCCACTGTGACGTTCCCTCCTCCATTGTCCCAATTTTCCTAACCATCCCTCAAGCCTTCCCTGGTTGTGGACCCAAAATAACTTATTTTATATTGCTTTTTAATCACTAAACGGCTAATGGAATGATTTTAAAAAATGCGTGGGGCTGGAGTGATAGCAAAGGGAGTAGGGCATTTGCCTTGCACAAAGCCGACCCAGGTTCGAGTCCCAGCATCCCATATGGTCCCCCAACCACCGCCAGGAGTAATTTCTGAGTGCAGAGCCAGGAGTAGCCCCTGTGCATTGCCAGATGTGACCCCCAAAGCAAAATAAATAAATAATGCTTCAGTAGAAGAAAATTTGTGAAAACTGTCATATCTCACCTTTAGGTCCTTATCTGAGGGTTTACTAAGCTGTTGTTGCTAGTTGAGCCTTCTGTGTTAATGTTTTTGTTAGTCCAGCTTAGTTGACTTCTTACTTGGTTTAGTTACATTCCCATTCAATCTGATGTGCTCCTACTACGATGTGAGTTTTGTGGAGTTTGAAGATGTCACACAGCAACAAATCACTTCAGAAAACTCAGAGCACTTAATTGGGCAGTGGGAGCTTACATGGCAGCAGTGATGAAATGTGGGTGTGGCTGTTGGGATTTCCAGAAGTACCAGTGTGGGGCGGGGGGGTGAAAGGGGGCGTGGGCGACATTTGAGGGAGGTTGCTTCATGCTGAGATGACCTGGACTTCTCTGCCAAAAAAAATAACCAGTGTACCTTAAATGTTCAGGAGTTTGGCATATCTGTAGAGTTCAGCCATGAGGAGTGGAGTCCAGCCCTAATCATGGCTGTAAGTGTTGAGGGTGTGAGTGTAGCTGCCAGGGCTTCAGCAGGGCAAGGGTTTGGCCCAAACCTATCTGAGGTTCCCCCTAGAGTTCTCAGCCAGGAACCAGTGTATCCAAGAAATTTTTGCAGCTAATTGATCTCTTTTAAGATTTAATCATGAATCTGGATGGTCCCTGAGCCCCACCAGAAGTGATCGATCCCTGAACACATTACTTAGCCAGGAGTAAGCCCTGAGCATCGTTGGGCGTGGCCCAACCTCCCTGCTAAAATATAAAAGAAAAATTTATTACACTGCAAAATAATTTGAACACAACTCTATTTTCACTGTCAAAATGTTTGTGCTATAAGCTATGATCAAACAGGTAAACAATTGTTGATTTTTCTCTAAATTGTAGTCTTTATAACTTTACCTGCAGTTTTATTATTAAAAAAAAAACAGAACTTTATACCTTCTGGTTTTGCAATGGAAAATGCCTATTATCAAAATTGGGAGGGTCATCAGAATCAGCTCCTGATTGCGGGTACGCTTGATGAACTTTCCAACACTGGGAAATACACTGAAGAGAGGTATTGAAACTCATTTGTACAACAAATAAGAGAAACATAAATTCAAAGCCTTTCTTTCTGGAAACATCATCCACCCATCTTTATGGATCATCTCCCTATTGACAGAACAAAGCCACCAGTTTCAAGCTTTAAAGAGGAGGCTTCAGAACCTGCTGCTGTCCGATGTTGGGTGATCACAGCATCCTTAATTAGCAAAATAACGGAAGAAGTAGAAAATTCTTCCCTTTTTAATCTACATAATTTCTGGTCCTACTGTCAAGGCTTTTATTAGAAGTCCTTATACATTCCTCTATAGCATTTCCCAGAGGAATAAAAATTGACAACAACAAAAAAAGGAGGATGTGGAAAAATATTTCACATCCTTCTCCTCCACCTCAAATATAAAGCAAATATGGTTCATTGTTTTCATTGCATATATGAAGCCCAGGGTTTGATTCCCAGGATTGTGAGAGGAAAAATAAAAGACAGAGAAATAAAAAGATGAGGGACAAATACTTGATTCTTTTGCCAAACAAATGTTTAGAAAGTCTCTGCTAAAAAGAAATATGAATAAACACAGCCAAAATTGTTCCTCATCTACACACAGGCTATGGCTCCTCTTAAGTGTTCTTTGTACCTTTTCCATTGGCGCCTCATTCTCTACTGGGGCAAGGATAACTGGGATTTTTTTCTAAGGTGTTTTGTTTTTTAATTTTATTTTAGGACTTCCCTTATTTAGTATTTGTTTTCTAACTATTTCATTTGGAAAATTCATCTAGAAAGACAATAATGTACCTAGAGAACAGATAAAACTTTCCAAATTTCATGAGGGCTGGAGTGATTGTATAGGGAATAGGGCATTTGCCTTGCATGTGGCTAACCCCAGTTCAATCCCCAGTATCCCATACGGTCCCCCAAGCACCTCCAGGAGTAATTCCTGAGTGCAGTCAGGAGTAATCCCTGAGCATCGCTGGGTGGAACCCAAGAAAGGAAAAAAAAAATCTTTCCAACTCCCATTCTTCCCCGTCGCCAGTGTCGGTCAGTGAGCTAACTAACCTCCTGAGCTTGGCTATGGGCATTTCCGTACTTGGGATCCAGGCACTCTGAGAACCTGAGGGCCTCAGAGCTGGTGTTTTCTGAGGCCACATTCCTCTGGCCTTAGGTGTGGGCCACCAGCTAAATCTCTCCTGACATTCTTACAGATTCTTCCAGAAAGAATCGTAGATGAGGACCCTCTATGGATGCTAATTCTCCAGAAGCTTTTTCCTGGTGAACCACTTTCTGGGTGCTAAGCACTTTTGCAATCTGGGGAAGAGGCCATTGTTTTGAAATTCCCTAAAAGTCTGAAATTACTTCAGGGAAGCACTGAGAATCCCAGAGTAGGGTTCCTGGGCATCCCACGCATGCAAGGGTATCTGTGTAGTTTCCTGTTACTTTGGCCTTAGTTCACCTTGCGGGTGGCCAAGTGAAGCAGACTTGTCAAGAGGCTCAAGGAGTAATTTCATGAAGGTGGGAGGGCTAGAGAGGAGGTTTGCAGTTATATAAACACAGTTTATTTTTATCTTAAGAGCACTATGACCTTTCTAAAGGATCATACTTCCCTCTTTAGCCACAGAAAACTAAGACACATATTTGCAACCCAAATCTGGCAACTTGAATAGGATTATATGATAGGTGTTTCTGCAAGCTAGTCTGATACTTCTTATGCACTTAGTTTCTTTAGCTATAAAGAGAGTATAATAATAGTGTCTATCTGCCAGGTTTGTTATAGAAATTATACAGAATACTGAATGTAGAACTGTTTCAGACATTAAATAACTTGTCCAAGATTCTGCATAATGAGTAGCACAGGTGGATACTATCTCATTTTCTTGGTTCTTAATTATCTCCTGCCTGGGCTATTATAATGAGCACTTAATTGATTCCCAGCTGCTGGTCCATCTATGCTACTATCAAAATTATCTTTCTTCCTTTTGTTATTCATTTATTCTAAAATATTTCTAAAATATTTTATGTTCAGAGCTTCTCTGGACATTGTACTACCATGGTAAGTAGGAAAAGATAACCATAAATTCTGTGAGGTCAGAGGTGGCAGGTAAGTAAACAAAATACATAAATCAGATAATCTAATCACATAAATGAAAATACAATAATAAATATAATAAAAAGCTAAACTGAATCTTCCATCTTGAAAAAGACAAACCTGTCCTTGACTAAAATCAGATAAATCTTTCTCAGGGAAACTTTTCTGAGTTAAAGCTTGAAGGTAGAGGATATCTGTGCAAAGATCAAATTACAGGAGCAAAACTAATGCTTCTTTTAGAAACTGAAAGGTCTGTAGACCTAGAATGTGTTGAACAAAGGGGTATGTGATGAGTAATGGACCTGAAGAAATGGATAGGGTGGACAGTGATGCATTAATTTAGAATCAACATTTAAAATGTGTACAGTTAATTATAGTGAAATTTTCAAAACGTGGCACTTACTTGTGTTGAATTAAAATATTTTATAGGGGCCACCATTAGGGGTTGGGAGTTCTGAGACTCCTCACAAGACTCAGGGGGCCATGCAGTGCAGAGATGGAACTGTACGCGAAGCTTGTGGTCGGCTTTCTGAGCTATCTCTCCAGCCCCTTAACCTTCTTCCAAAAGTGCTCCTCTGACCAACAGATCAAAAGTTGTTACAAAAGAACTAGAAGTAAATGAGAAACATTATCCAGCCTTCTGCCAAGCCCTGCCATGGTTATAATTAGAGAAGGAAGCCAAAGGAAAAAAATAGCTAATAAATTTGTCATTAAGAAATATTTTTGAATGAGACAAGATTGTTTTTATTTAGAATGCTGCACCACTGGAAGACTGAGACTAAAATAATATTCTTTTAAAGTCTATAAAAAAATTGGTGGTTCTCATGCTCTGTCTCCAGAAAATGGGAAACTATAAACAAAATAAGAATTTTTCCAGGATTAAGCCTTAAAAGCTAAAAATACAAATATATTCAAAAAAAGGTTGGGTCATAGATATAAATTTTTAATTTTTAATTATTTAATGAGAAAGCCTATGGATAAAAGATTTCTAATTTGCTTTTATATAATCTGTCCTCCCACAAATTATCTTTCAGCTGCATGATTTGTTGAGCTAACACATTGAAATGAAAAAAAAAATGACCATATGAGTATTTCACAGACTCTCTACTATACCTCTCCTTAATATTGTTGCTCTGCTATTTAGACTAGGCACATCGATTCATACATACATGGTTAAAGCATTGACACACTTCTAAAATGTGAACTACAGCATTCCAAACTCAGAGAGTCAATTTATTACAGTGAAATCTTTTTTTTTTTTTGGTGTTTTTGCCAACATAAATGAAAGTATAGATGTTTCTTGTGCTTTTCATTCTTGCTAGGACTGGAGTGATAGCACAGTGGTAGGGCATTTGCCTTGCATGCAGCCAGCCCGGTTGAGCTGGGTTCGATTCCTCCGCCTCTCTCGGAGAGCCCGGCAAGCTACCGAGATGATCTGCCGAGAGTATCTCACCCACACGGCAAAGCCTGGCAAGCTACCTGTGATGTATTCAATATGCCAAACATAGTAACAACTAGTCTCAAAATGGAGACGTTACTGGGCCCGCTCGAGCAAATCAGTGAACAATGGGAGGACAGTGTTTGTTTGTTCCTTCTTGCTGTTTTTTAGTAAGGGCCAGGGGTGTGGCTCAGCAGTAGAACACTCACCTTGCTAGTGTTAGCTTGTGATTCTAGTCATCAAACCCACGACCTAATAGTTTAATAGCTCTTTCTATTAAATAGGAAATCCTTCATTCTTATTTTGCTTTGAATAGAATTATCCTGTTTGGTTAATAGCATCTGGAAGATACCACATTGCTAACAACATATGGAAGAGATTAAAAATATTCTGTGCTAAGATGACCAGTATTTTCTGTTAGATTTGCACAAGAGTCATGGATTTGGGGGATCTATGATCTGTCTCGTCTTTTCAGTATCTGCTATTTTATTTGTTGTCTCAGGGACTCCACTAGCATAGCACAAGGTCCACAATAGAGAAAACATTGAGAAAAGAGTTAATTAGATGACAATTCAAGATAGAATGGGATAGTAGCTACATGCATTGATTTTAATTGTTTTGATGTGATGTCTAACAAATAGATGTCAAGCTATTACTGTTCAGTATTTGGCCTTTCCCTGCCTGGTGACCAGGCCTAAACTTCCAGATGGCTTTTTTGTTGGTCCACAAGATTGGAAATGTGGTTGGATCAATAGCTTGGTTGCTGCTGCTGCTGACAGCTCTTTCTCTCTTAGACAGCGCAAGGATGAGCTGGAACAGAGAATGTCTGCTCTCCAGGAGAGCCGGAGAGAGCTAATGGTTCAGTTAGAGGGTCTGATGAAGCTTCTAAAGGTAAGACATTTCAAATAAATGTGCCCTAGACTTGTGAATGTATACTGTGTGCAGGTACAAATGCGAATGATTTATTTTCACTCACTATATGTGATTTCCCCCAAAATGTGCTTTCAGACTCACTAGTGGTTAGTTATAAGATAAGACTCTCTATTTCATGTGTCTAAGGCTCATTCTCACACATTTCCCAAAACCAGACTACTGAGGTCCATAATGGGACAACTTTTTCTTGGTTTACTTCCAGTACCTTATGTCCTTAATTGAAATAAAATGGACTTTTGAAAAATAATATATTATCTTTTAATAATTCTAAGTAAATTCAATAGAAACTGTATCTAATGCAAAAAATTAAGATATTGCCATTGAATAATCATGCTGATTATTGTTTTATTAAGAGATATGACTTTGCTAATTTCAGTAAAATATTTTATCCCACTTCTGTGGCTTTTCACCAGTTACATAACTTTGGTGGGTCTCAAATGGAAACTGAAATTGAAATTAGCTCCTTTATTTTGCATGGAGAGAGTGTAATGAGATGATCCCCAGATGTCTTTCTGCAGATTGCTCTACTGCTTTATTCTCATTTGGCAATGGCATTCTTCTTTTAATAAATCCACATTCCCGTTGTTAATGTATGTTCAATTACATTCTCAAAGCATACTGCTTAGGGCCACAGAACCGTAGTCAATAGTTCAGTGGAAGTGCTAGTGCTATGTGGTCATCCTATGTTATGGAAATAAGTACAAATCAGTATGGATTAGTAAAAATGTGCTGTACCCAGAGCAAGTTTTGACACTTCTGATAGGATTATGAAGGGAAAGGCCCTGTGTGCAACTCACCGTGAAACTAGATGTTTGCCTTTGAGTTCATGGGTTTGCCACCTCCCTGCCGTACCATCACTTATTGCTTCAGTGCTTACTCTTTTATTTCCTTTTTTTAAATTTCCCTTTTCTTCTTTATCCTTCCTTTTTATTCTCTTTACTTATTATTTATTTACTTCTTGTTTATTTCTTATTTCTTTCCTTCCTTTTTCTTTTGTTTCTCTCCTACCTTTAACTTAGCAATTATTTTTTGAAATTTATTGAGCTCTGGGCACTAGCTGTTATGAATGTAAGAGTCTCTTCTGTTTTTGTGTTTAATTTTTTGGTTTTCTTTTCCTGCCATCAGTGTTGGAAATTTTTACTGAATAAAATTTTCTTGTCAATGTATTATACATATGAAAATAGAAATCAATTTTCATTGTACTATAGATGTTAAGACAACTAGAAAATTAATTGTCCGTTGCTGGTTTTGCCCATTTTTTAAAAAAAGAATCCCATTTGATCCAGAAAAGTCCTTCTGCCTTCCTTTCTAAATATATCAAGTGAAGAGGGTCTATTGCTACTTGCCCTTCACTGAAGGAGGGGAAGCTTGGAAAGAGCCCCCTGCTTATATTCCTGCAGTTTATGTCATCATAGTGATGGGCTGGGAGCGTGTTTCCCAACAACTTGGCATCAACCTAACTAATTGTGCATAGTATGTATTTTGGTGTCTGCATATCCTGCCATACTAGACATTATGTTGAATGGTGGTTGGACATGTGAAAGAAAGACAAATCTGTAGTCTCCAATAGCTAAATAGACTTGGAGTTAAGTCTCTGAGGAGGAAGAGCCTTGACCTGCCATCAGAACTGTGTTGATGTTTTCCCATGTCTTGCGTTCCTTCTCACTGTGTACATGCTCTTATCGGAACCCTGGGTAATCTAACTGTTATTGATTCAATCTTTCTGTAGGAAGAAGAACTGAAGCAGGGAGTAAGTTATGTTCCCTACTGCAGGTCTTAACTAACAGTGGAGGGCCTGCCATCCTGCCGTTTTTCTCATTGCTTTTGCCTCTAATGTATGTTCATGCTTCAGTTTGGAAAGAGGAAAAGAAATCATACTAATTTGCTTCTTTTTCAATGTAGTGCTTGAATTGAGATATATAAAACTGGACAGCATTAAAGAGAACTATTATATCTTCTAGAAGAGGGAACAGATTGTACCTTTATAGATCTCCCGGGTCTTAGTTTCTAACCAGTCTCATGCCTGATCAACAGATCAGATCCTTCTCTTGCTAGAAATACCCCCACCACAGTGCCCAGAGCTCCCCTAGGCAAAACCCACAGCTCTCAGAAGCTAACTTTGACATCCTCTCACTGTGAAAATTCAGTTCAGTTCCATTTTATTGTAAAGGTGTTGAACCTCATTTTTATAAAAACCTGTCAATTACATCTCTTTTCATGACATATTAAGTCCTGTTCTCCTCTGCTCACTCAAATGAGTGCTCAGTCTTGGGTAAGACTGGCTAAGTAATTATTCATTCCCCTATTCATTCCCCCTTTAGTTCTTCCCCAGGAGAATCCCTACTATTGGTTGAATAGTCTTTTCAGTGGTCTTTTCAGCCTTTCTCTTATCACCAAGAACCTTTCTGCCCTGGGATTCCAGAAGGTCCTTCTCTGGGCTTTCATGTGTAGAAACTGGGCATTGTGACACTAGATCCTAAACAGAAGTCTTGTGTCTAACCCTGTGGTCAGGTTCAAAAGCCAGCAGAGGGAGCAGCCTACTCAGAAAATAATTTTAAAAAGAAGCAAAATAAAAGCAGCCTTCATTTCAAGTGCATGTACCAAGCTGTGTATGACAATATACTCCACTTGCTAGTATTAAGAAATATATTTTCACATTATTTCCATGGATCAATTAGAACCACAGCCTATGTCCAATTTCAACCTGTTTATTCTTCTGTATTCTCTTTCCTATTATTCATTGTGAGTGTTTGTGTATAACAAAGAATGTTTGCAAAATGCTGGACACATTTTAACTCTTCATTCCCATGATCTGTAAAAAAAGGAAAGTGTAAAACCTATCTGTAATGTCAGACAATAAAGACAATGTATTACATTATTCTGTATTTTGTGGAAAAAAAGTTACTTCACTGAAGTCAAATTTTAATGAGACTATGTCCCCAGGTAAAAGACACGTTAACAGCCTGTATAATGGCCATAAGTGCATCTATGGGGTGTTATCATTGTACTTGCTACACACTTAGATCATGGTAGAGGAAAATGCCTTGCTAGATGCTTTGCTTTGCAAGCAGCCTCTCCTTTCCTGTCTCTTACTTAGCATGTGTATGGAAAAGGGAAGTAAAGCTCAAATATCACCTTCCTCTCCCTGTGAAGAGAGAAGTCAACCTACAGTCTATATCAGCAGTGCTTTAGCCATTTCCCGAGGGGATACCCTTCTCCACTATTTCCCAGGCAACACATTCTGGAAAGGCTCAGAGAACCAGGAAGTTCATGAACAGAGAGTGTCAATGGTTGGGGTCTAGGCATCCACCTGCAAAGGCATTACTCAGCTGTCTTTCCTGCCACTTCCTCTCTACTGAGCTCTCAACAGCTGCCTGGAAGGTCAGCCAGCATCAGTGCTGCTGTGTAACTACTTAAGGACCATCAGTGCTAACACCTAGATGTAGGAAGTGCATTTTCTGCGTGGGTCCAGGAAGAGTTTGCCTGTTTACTCATTTATTTGCTCTTATACTGAAACCTTTATTTCAAAAAGGACCCGAGGCAGCTTACAGTAAAAGACATAAACAATGATTTCTGTCCTCCTGTTGTTCATCGATTTGCTCGAGCGGGCCCAGTAACGTCTCCATTGTGAGACTTGTTGTTACTGTGTTTGGCATATTGAATATGTCACGGGTAGCTTGCCAGGCTTTGCCGTGCGGGTGAAACAATGATTTCATAAACCAAAAATAGAAAAGCAAAAAAAAATGAAAGCAAAGAGCATGCAACTATGCTAATCATTAGGGACATAAGTATCATTCTGAGTGTTGTGGAGTAAGGCAAAAATGAGGAAAACAGTGGATAGTTCTGAGGGTACTAAAATTTCTGTTATATAGAGAGTTTTCACTTGGATTTTTATAGAAATGGCTGATTAATTTTGACTGTAGGTCAATATGTGAAAAATAAGACCCCATATGAAGAAGTTACATAAGGAAATAAGCAAGTGCCACCCAGATATTAGAGTCTTCTCGGCATAACATGATCTAAGGAGAGAATTTAGAGGTTTTTACTTGGGCATCTGCTTCTAAATTCTTTTGTTTTACTTATGACCCTTTCCCCTCTGGAGACATTTTCTGTAAAACCAGATGTAAGACATGCACACAACAAATTGTGCTTGATTTAATAATCTCTACCTGCTTTATCATTTAAGTCTGTGTCATTCTATGTATTTTATTATATTGGTATATATAATTCTGACTATATTGTTTCTTGTTAGATTTAATGCATGAATTTATCCCCCTTGAGGAAAAATCCTGATTTTTAAAAAAAGAGAAAAATTAAAAAATAGTGCCTGTAATATAATATGATGATTATGGTATCATAAGCAATAAATTTTTTTACAAAACTTGAATGAAAATTATCCTACCCTCTTTCTTCTTTGTTATTAAACTTTTTATGAGTGTTCTTTTTATGGCTCTATAAATAAATCTTAAAAATACACAAAGACATCTGGGCCATAATTGAAAGTATGCCACAAACTCTGGAACATACCATCACTGCAATTTTGAACGTTAATGTCAGAGTTCTTGGATTGTGATTGGGACATGAGTTCAGAAAGTAGGTTCTCAATAATAGTATTTTTAGAAAGATTACTGGAATGAGACCTTAATTCTCCTAGTCCCAACCCTTCATTCACAGTTGTAAAATGTTGAACAAACCAATTAACTTTCTATTAATTTTTTTCAAACATACTGACAATACATGGTTCACAGGAATTAGAAGATAATGGATGCAAAGTGCTTTGTTAAATGCCATATGCATGTCAGATACAAGTAGGAATATGCCTATATGTGTACATATATATATACATACATAGGTTTATAATTTTCTAATTTTACCTAGGATTACACACACACACACACACTTCTTAACAGCCGTCACAATGAGGGTGGGGGGAAGACATCATTTCAAATTTTATCTCCTGCCCCATTCTCTTAACATCTGGATGGCCCAGTTAACTGAGGAAGTTAGGGGCACACCACTTCCTCCTTCTTCCGAATGAATTACAGAATATACATAGGCAAGAAGTGGCTCATTTCGCCAGTTTAGTTTTTACCTTCTCCAGCTCATCCTCCCTGGTGGGTATGCTACCAAGTGGTAGTAATGCCATCAAAATTGAGAGAGGTGGGCTGGATAATACACCTTATGAATATTTAAGTGCAATGTAAGAAATTTCTAGTGTTCAAAAGCATACACTCCCAAACTGACTTTCTCCTTCTCTCTTTCTATGTATGTGTGTCTGCTTCTTTCTTTCCCTTACTGTCCTCTCCCCTTATCTCATATTTTTTTTAATTAGAGATAACTTATTCTAGAAAAGTAAAGTTTATTTCTCCGCTTAAACCCTTAGAAGATGACCCTTAAGATCAGAATGAAGCCTGGGGCTCTTTTCTGACTCTGGAGGCTTCTCTGACCTTCTCTTTCATTTTCACCCCCCACATCAGCAAACCTGGTGTTTCTGTGCTAGCTTCCCTACCCTCTCTGTGTGCCCCTACACTCTCTGGGCCTGCCTCATGAGATTCCAAGGCCTGGAATGATCTCCCTGCCTAATACTTTTCTGTTGGGAAATCTCCACTATTAAAACCCACATGATCACTCCTTACTAGTCAGGCAGGAAGCATTATTTCACCTCATTGATTTCCCTACAATATTTTGTACACAATCTCTTTTCAAGGCTCAATTAATGGAATTTTCATCATTGTGTTGCCATCAGTGAATGTGTATTGGCAGCCTCCGAAGACACAGCACTGCCTGAGAGGCAGACTTTTCAGACCCTAGGGTAGGGACATGTAACAGTTCAGACTCAGGTCCCATGCTCTGAACTGCTCTGCCATTTCTCCGGGGTGTGTTTGTCAGCAATTAGCAAGAATGAGGGAAGGACCAAATGTCTTTCTGGTGCTGAGTGAATGCCAAAATACTTCCTGGAAAAAAATTTTTTAAATGTATGGATCTAGTCAGACTGTTTAAAAATTGATACAATGGCATGTTGAGTGTACTCCGTTGATTTATGGAAGAAGGAAAACATACATCATATCTGGCAAACTTAAAATAGCTCCCTTCCTAGAGAATACATGAAAAATTTATTTCTACACTCCATCCTCTCTTCTCAGGAATTTTAGATCTATATATTGATCTGCATGGACCATTGTCCCTATGCTCCATTAATCATTGAGTCATTTCCAGGAAAGGAAGCTCCCAGAGATATTCACTCTTCTTAGATTGTTAGCAGACAGCCAGGCTTCATATACCGGCAAGAGCCACCTTTCTGCAGGGGCTACAGCTGTAGAAAGGGTAACTCGTTGGGACCACCCGAGTGCCAAGAGGCTACTACCCTTTCCAAGTCGTCCCACAAACAGGGATCCCAGCAAGCGTTCCTAGGAAGCCACTCTGCATCAAACAAGACAATTTCCTGACAAAGAGAGATGAAGTCATGGTTGCCCAGAATGCTATAATCCTAGATGGGAAAGTCTGCGTGAAATCTGCACATGACCCTGGAATAATAATAATTTGTGCACGAAAATGTAGGAGAATCTTTCCTCCAGCACAGAATATTCCGCCTAAATTCCTCACATAATCAAACTGCTTACACTAGAGATTCATCTGAGAGATGGGGGGCCCTAATTCATCACATATTGGTGTTATTTAGATTCATTCTATTGTTTTTCCCTTAACACAGAACCATAGCTGATTGCATCCTTTCTTCAAAGCTCCTATTGGTGGTGTGGTAAGAGAAAATAGAAGTAGGGAAAGTTGTCTGTGGAGACCGCACTTTAAGTAGGAAGAGATGAAGCTGTGTCTCTTGTTAACAGACACAGTTAACAAGGCAGCCCTCAAAAAGGGGAAAACTTGGCTCATTGAAGAGAGGGCAGAGGAATCAGGAGAGAGGGTCATGTCAAGCATGCATCCTGCCTGCTGCACTAACCCAGGTTTGATCCCTGGCACCACATATGGTCCCCTGAACCCTGCCATTTAGTGTTCCCTGAGCACAGAAACAGGAGTAAACCCTGAGCACTACTGGGTTTACTTTCTGTGGCCTAAATACAGAAAAAGAGAGGGAGGGAAGGAAAGAGAAAGAAAGGAAGGAAGGAAAGAATGAGGGGGGAAGAAGGTTAGAAAGGTAACATAAACACCCCCATACCAGAGGCAGTACATGTACATGCAGTGTTGGTGTGTGAGACAGCCCCAGCCCTGCCATCCACATAGTGTACTACATACCTTCAGTTTCTGGGTCCTGGCATGTGCCAGAATTCAGAATCTTGTATGGCATTGAATTGCATTCCTACAACTCAAAAAAGAGCCTTTCATTAGTTTGAGAAACAGCCCAAAGGCTGTTCTCTGTAAATATGAAATCCAAAAAGCAACATGTTTCACAACAATCAGCACAATCTTCCACACACTGGGCACTCATGTGGCTCTCAGCACAGAACCATGCAAAGGCAGTTTAAGTGGGAGCTCTAGGTCCTTACTCCATTTGGGCTCATGGGTGGGTCCAAGGCTCACACCCTCGAGCCTCTGAGTAACTCAAGCATCTGTGCTTCCCTCAATGTAGAAAGGAAGGGTATGGTGAGTGGCCACAGTCCTGGGAGACAGCTGTGTAGCAAGAAAGCAGGAATCTATCCGCTAAAGGCTGCTGATGCACTCAGAATTTGGGTATCATTATCTCTTCTGAGGCTTAGTTTGCTTAGCTGAAAACTGGGAAGAAAAATATCTCATATGATTGGTAGAAAGATGAAATGAAGAATTGGGAATAAAATGCTTTGTAAATTATAAATTTGATTCCAGTATAAGCCATTATCAGTCCTGATTGTTCACTGATGACTCAGAAAGTGCATGGGGAAGATAGTTACAAACTGTCAATAACCTCGAGAAAAAACAGGCTCCTGGGATTGGTTCCTTGGTAAAGGGAACAGATAAGGGAAGATGGGCCCGGAGAGAGAGAGAGCACAGCAGGTAGGGTGCTCACCTTGCATGCTACTGACCTGGGTTCAATCCCCAGCATTTTATATGATTCCCTGAGAACTTCCTGAGTGCAGAGTCAGAAGTAATTAATGCCTGAGCATTCCCAGGTGTGTCTCCCCCCACTCGACCTCCCCCCCCCAAAAAATAAAAGGACAATAAACCCCTCTGAGGGTTCTGCCTGAAGGCAATCTGTGCTGTGCCTTCCTAAGGGGAGGCAGCCCTCAGAGCAGCCAATGAACCTCAGTCATCCACCAGAGCCTTCCCCAACCCTTTCCCACCCCACAGATGAGATTACGCAGAGCACTGGACCAGGACACCAGCTCAGCCATTCTGTTCCTATGTCCTGAGCAGTTACTCTTGCCTCTCAGAGCAGCAGAGTCTACAATTTATAGAATACAGATGACTATTTGCAAGGAGCTTGAAGAGAAATCAATGAGAACCTACATTAGAGAGGCACTTTGTCATGTAGGTTTTTCACATAAAGGCATGTATGACTGACATGGGAAGCAAGGTGGGGGATATCATGGTAACTCAGAAGCTGAGATTTTGTGGTTCCAAAGTTGAGCTGCCAAAGTTTGCTGGGGAAAACCAACCCTTCCTGAGCAAGCAAAGCATCTCAAGCAGTCAAAGTTCCCTTCCTTGGGCCCGGACAGACCATTACAAGGTACCGTTGAGAGTGAGAAATTGAAACCCTCAACCCAAAGCATCACATGAATTATTGTCTGTTCTGTTTGGATGTTCTTTTTTTTTAATTCTGGAAGTTTCTTGACTTACAAATTTGACTTTAATGTGTGATCCTGAGCCCTGGGGAGCTAACTGCATGGCAATAACAGGACTGATGTATGTTTTAACTGCAAGCAGCTGATACCCCAGCACAGATCTAAATCGAGTATTCCAGGGCACTAGGTCCGGTGCATGCCTGGCGTATGATTGGTTGATGGTGAATCTCTAGGCCTGTCTAGGGGAAAGTCTGCACTCTACCCAGTCAGACCCCACACATTGAAATAGAATCAATTGATGTGAACACCTAAACTGTTGTGAACACACTTGATGGTCTCCTTGCGTTTTCTTATGTGTGACTGACATTCTTCGCAAACTAATTACTAAAAAGAGAAAATGCCTTACCAAGCGGTCTCTCATTGTACAGAGTAAGCCATGAAATTCAAGGTGTGATCGTTTCAGAATAGTTTCATGGCCCAATCTGTAGTGCAAAGATTAAAAGTTTTCAGCTGTTCCCTCCTTTCTTTACTTATTTTAAATCCCTACTATTCTCACTGTCCTGCAAAAAAGGTTATTTCTCCTTCAGGAAACAGTAGCCAAAAATGAAGAAACCAAGGTTTCTTTTTCCTTCTTCTCCATTTAAATCCCTGAATTGCAGAGTGACTTAACAAAGTCAACTCTTACTGTAAAAACTCAGGGATTAAAAGGTTTACACCACATCTGAGACTTAAAATATATTTCATTGTGTTATGTCATCTGAACTATAAAATATTCATCTCAAAAAAATATTCTAGTTTATACTTAAAACTATGCTTTTAAGTTTTTATTCTATGTAGAACTTCCTTCAAGGAGAAAACACAGACACTTTGTTCCATAATAAATGTGGTCTCTGAGGCAGAGATTACTACAATCTCATACCAATACCACTCTTAGGTTTCAATATACAACCCCAAACTTCGAATTATATTTTTATATGTTTTTAATTATCTATACCCACAACTTAGGTTTAGGACTCCCCTCTCTGTTACAGAGGATTTTCTCTTGTTTAGGAATCTCCTTTTTGAAGTTTTTCACTTCTGACTGAGGCCTTGCAGGTTGAGTGCCCGTTTCATGGAAAAACAAATTAATGACTTGCATTGTCTCTGCAGACGCAGGGGGCAGGCTCTCCTCGCTCCTCCCCCAGCCACACCATCAGCAGGCCCATCCCCATGCCTGTCCGGTCAGCATCTGCCTGTTCCACCCCGATTCACATGCCTCAGGATTCTCTCACAGGGGTCGGGGGAGATGTGCAAGAGGCGTTTGCACAAAGTAAGTGATTTGTTGTTGCTGTTGTTGTATCCTGTTACTAATGAGGATCCAAAGTCTGTTGAGTGCCCCAGCTAGAATAAGCAGAGACCCCCTGAGAAGATTTAGGGAGTTTCATGACTTGTTTCAGGTCCTGGCCCGCATGCTGTTTGACCAACTGTGTGAATCTGTTGTTCTTCACCTCACATATCACCTTCCTTTGGCAATGAGCTAGTTTCCACCTTTTAAGAACAAAAATTTTTTGCTCATTAAAGGAAATCCCTTCACTTAAATCCCCCAAAACTACATAAAACATGCTATTGACCTAGGTACAATCCTCAGCACTACACGTAGCCCCCTGGATTTCTTTTCTTTTCAAATATATGATTGAAATGACACAATCCCAGCTCTCTCAAAAGGACACGGAGTCATTTTACATATGTCCTAATGAATGTCTGCCATCTGCATCTAGTTGATAGAGGGACACCGAATAATTCAAGGTCCCCATGGTTGTGCCTTCTGATTAGACTCCCACGTCTTCATATGTGTATATAAGTATATATGTATATATTATATACATTAACATATATACTTACACATTTCACCTATATATATATGAAGCATATGACTCATTTTTTTGCAAAAAAGTATAAGAACTGGGGTATTGAGGTCTACAATTCGCATTTTCTTTAAATTAGCAACACATCATGAACATCCTTCCAGGTCCTTGCATAGAAAAGGAAAATATGACTATGAAAGATTTGATGAAACCATTTTCTGCATGTGTGGTAAAAAAGCTTCATAAAACTTCAGTTTCACAGAAAGCATTTATCAGTATGAGACATTTCTCAATCCAAGATAGGAAAAAGATACGGACAGAAGAAATACAAATTCTCAGTAAACATGAAATGATGTTCAATCTCACAAATAATTGTAGTGATATAAATGTTAAACTTTTAAAAATATGTTAAATAAAGATGATTATCACATCAGTAACATCCAGGAATAGTGGAATAGCTAAAAATAGGCCAGCTCCACACCCATGAACAGCCCCTGCTAAGTTCCTCTGTCAGCTTGCTGTTTGGAATTGTGAGTCCTTTTTCTCAAAAATGGTAGACTAATATTCTCTACTATAGAAAAACCTAGCATGTATGAGACCTCACTAAGAACTGAGACTATTATCGTTTCTTCTTCTCTTAAGGTTCAAGAAGAAATTTAAGGAATGACTTACTAGTGGCAGCAGATTCCATCACTAACACTATGTCCTCTCTTGTGAAAGAGCTGAATTCAGGTCAGTCCCAGCTCCCACTCGCTTGCTGGATTTGGTGCAGAAGGTTCTTATTAGGGATCTGCTCATTGTTAAATATATGAATATATAAAAATATCACACAGATATTTTGTGTCTATATTTAAAAGACTAGTAACCCATGCAGAAAGTTTGAAAACTGTGGAGAATAAGGAAAATATTAAATTGACTTAATGACCAGGAGGTTCACTCCATGGCTTGGAGGCCAGCCGCACATGCTGGGGGAAAAGATAGCTCAGATAGAGAGGGGAGCACCAAGTAAAGGGTGTTGGGAGAATTCTCCCAGAATGAGAGATGCGTGCTGAAAGTAGACTATAGACCAAACATGATTGCCACTCAGTGCCTCAATGCAAACCACAGCACCCAAAAGGAGAGAGAGAACTAAAGGAAATTCCTTGCCACAGGGGTAGAGTGGGATGGGGGGTGGGGGGTGGGGGGGGGGGGGTGAGAGGGATGCTGGGAACACTGGAGGTAAGGAATGGGCACTGGTGGAGGAATGGGTACTCAATCACTGTATAACTGAAACCCAAGCACAAAAATTTGTAAGTCTGCAAATGTATTTCATGGTGTTTCACTAATAAAAATTAAATAAAAATAAAAGCCAGTATTGCAACAGAGAAAAATAAATAAATAAATAAATAAAATTGACTTAATGATTGCTTCTCAGCCTTTTGGCTACAATCAAGTGTAAAGTTGACTTATGATGTTATCATCAAAATTCATTGTTAATATATATCATTACGCTCTAATGTCAGATGCATGACTACTTGTAGATATTTCAAAGGTAAATTTCACTTTATTCTCAAAGAAATGTCTGCCCATAAAAAACATGTTACATAAATTGTTGAGACTCTATCAAATAATACTACAGTTAATTTTTAACTTTAACTGATTTTAAGTATTAAAATTTAAAACAAAATTTGTTAACATTTTTTAATTTAAAATTTTAACAGGAGTAGGCAAATGCCAGTAACAAGCACATTTTGTTTATTCATTAAAGCCCACCTGTCAAGATATTTTCTGGCAGGATATCGTCATAAAGTTGAGATTATAATCACTATGAAAAATAAAGTGTCAATATTAAATTCTGGATTACTTTGTGTTTTATAGACTTTAAGTTAACTCATCATAGTTGATAGTTGATGGCAATGAGCCCAGTGTTCTAATGAAAGATCACTTCAAAATATAAAGTAATTTTTCATGTCTTAAGAGAATAAATCACTAGTTTATTGAAATTTCCACAGTAAGTAATCTTGTTTAACCAAAACAGTTTCAATGAAGCCTTAAAGAGACGGGTAGAAAACAGTTTTGTGATGTGTTGTAAGTTGTAGAGGCACAAAACTTCTTACAAAGTTACTAAGATAGAAAAGTAAAGAGTGTACCCAGAGATTCAATAGTACTTCTTCTCAGTATCAATTCTTATTTTGAAAAAGTTTTGACTAAATGTACCTTAGTGGGTTAATGGCTTAAGACAGAGCATTGGATATATAAAGTCTAGCACCCTCCCCTTTATTTTTATGTCATTAAAAAAATTGCAACTAATCATTCTTTACTTTTTTCAATTGTACCTCCTAGAGGTGGGAAGTGAAACTGAGAGTAATGTGGATTCTGAATTTGCACACACTCAGTTTGAGGAACTGGTTCCATCACCAACCTCTGAAAAGGCTTTTCTAGCCCAAATCCATGCCCGAAAACACGGAGAAGCTACCCCAAGCACCATGCGGAGTGACTTGTGAGTATCTTTGGCTTGGAGGTATTTTCTCAGAAGAAAAACACTCTGTAGAGACCACAAGAAAGTGTAAACTTGGTTGCTAGTTTATTTTGAAAAGGTTAATGCAGTTTCCCACTCGAACACAGCGTTGTGACTTTCCCACCTCACAATTTCCAGAAAGAATCAATAACCTATATGAATTATTATTTGTTGAAATTAATGCCCCACATGAGGCCATTTGTACACAAAATAGTATTTTTAAACTTCCTGATCATTGTAGTATTCACAGACTCGTCCAGAAGCTCTAAGAGCCTAATTTCTGAATTTACCATGTATATGCCTAGAAGAGTCTGTAGTTCTGTTCAGAATGGGTGTAAGCTGCAGCCTCTAAGCACTTGGCATTAAAATAAGTAAATACAGAAAATCTCATTCTAAAGAAATCTAAGTTGAGTGACTTATTGAATATACATAGACTGATCCTTGATAAATTTACTGTGCAAAGAAAGACTTTCAGCCATTGTGACTCTGTGGACTTTTGTCACTTGTTAGAAGCCAGCAATGTTCCCACTAGACATGCTGAGACCTTGGATCAGCTAGAAGTAGTTAAGCAGAAAACATCAAAGATGAGAAACAAAGACAAGAATAAGGAGTAGAAACAGGAAGCAGATCAGATGGGTCAGTGGGGTAGTGAAGCGGTAGGAGACTGCCCAGATTTATCATTGCATGAACCTCAAAAAGGCATGCAAAGGCTGGAGAGGGGAATTACTGAGAACACACACACAAAACCACTCCACGGTAGGGAATTAATGCATAAGTGTGAACAATATTGAACATTTAAGCCCATCAAAATTAACTAGCTGTTTTAAAGCTACACATAGGAAATGAGCCAGAATACTTTCTGGTATTCTTACTCTCTACCCCAATAGAGTGTAGAAGATCGGTAATTGAGAGTTCCCTCACATGGTCCAGTTCTGATCTGAGGCCCTAGACCACCAATGTGAAGTCCCTGGGGTGTTAGTGGAATATTATCTACCCGCATGGTTGTGGAAGTTGGGGGGAGATTTAATCTTTCCTAAGATGGTCCTAAATCCACAACATAGCAGAAATATATTGAGAGAGTAAATAACTATGGGCAAGTAGAGATTTGTATGTTGGAATTTAGATGTCATGTTCACTTTTTTCATTTAGGGAAATATTTGAATTATAAAATATTTCAGGACATAACCAGTTCATGTTTATAATAATACTATTTAGGTAGTGAATTTAAATTATGTCAAACAAAGGTATTTATATATACTGGGAATACCCAGGTAGCGATAGAGTCACATTAATTAGTGAAGTCATTCTTATCTAGTGTACATATTTAGTTAGGCAAGAATATTCACATTCTTGGTGTTAATTTTTTTTATATTGTGAGGCTTCCTTTGATTAAAAAACAAGCATGTGGGTATAATGCAAATAAAGTTATGAACAAATATCCTTAATGACTTTTCACTAGAGGGCTCACTTTCCTCGTAGAACATGGTTTTGGATTTCTTTATAGTCTTCATGATGGAAAACAAAGTTCTCAAATGATAAGCCTGCTTTTAACGGGGACAGAGTGATGGTACAATGAATAGGGTATGTGCCTTGCACACAGCTAATGGGGTTCAATCCCCAGAATCCCCTATGATCCCTGAGCCCCACCAGGAGTGATCCTTAAGCAATACCTGCTATAACCAAAAAATACAAGTTAAATAAAGCAGGCTTATTTTTTTTTTGACTTGGTGAACATATACATTCCTATAAGTCTTTAAAAAACTCATTGATGACTAAGGTTCATCAGACTGCAGTAGAAAACTTGCATAGAAGATATAGGTCATTTACTTCTTTAAGTCAGTCTTTTACCTAACAGAAAACTTTTTTTAAGTTTGAAGCAGAGATGTGAAATATAGGACTTTGTACACACCAAAATCTAGCTCCCACCTAAATTCCACTCAGATTTTCCTTCCATATTTTCTCCCTAACGTTGCCTATGGTTTCTTCTCTAGGGTTACAGAAGATGGGGATCCCTACGTGCGGCCTGAAGATGAAAACTATGAGGAAGATTCAGTCCGGCAGCTGGAGAATGAGCTTCAGATGGAGGAGTACCTGAAACAGAAGCTGCAGGATGAAGCCTACCAGGTATGCGGAGACAGGCCCCATTAAACACCCACTGCTGCTGTCTTGTCCCTGGTGGCTGGGGCCTTTACATCACTCAGAGAATCGGTGCCATCTCCTTTCTTCCACCCACCCTTTTCTGGAATATTCTGCCTTTCTTAATCCATGTCTTCTAGACAGTAAAAATTTCCAATACCTTTTTAGAATTGCCATTCACTAGGTCTTCTTATAAATCCTGGTCTGGAAAATTAGGAGACATTGTTCCATTAGCAGAAAGTTGGTGACTAACTATTTATATTCCTCCAGGATCACGAAGGAAGATACTTTTTTGTGTACATTTTTTACAGACAAGGCAGGGGGGAAATTGGGTTAACACAAATCTGTCTCCTCTTTTGAATCATTGGTCCTCAGCCTCCCTCATGGCCCAGCTCACACCAAATGTCAATAGAGTAGTGAGAAAGTACTTCTCCTGTGAGAAGCCTTTAAACAAAACACATGCAACTGGGAATGAATGTAATTAATATCACATTCTAAAGGAGCTCCATTTTCCCCATGAAGATGGCTCTAAGGCATGTTATTTTTTTTTTCTGCTGTTCCTTTCCCTGTGTTTTGTCAGTTTTGGGGAAGTTAGGTTGTCTTCCTGGTTGAGACCTACCTATCCAGGTCTAGCGGGTGGTTCAACCCTGTCAGAATTTCTATGACGTGGTCAGATAACCTACTTCCATGCTTCCGTGCCCCCATACCCAGACATCAATAGTGGCCCTCTCTCTCTCTGCTTCTGTTTTCTTCACTAACAAAGTACCAACATCTGAGAAATAGAAGTAGAAGATATTTAAAGAGTTGACACATTCCACCCAAACAGCATGGAATTTGGAGCAATTAGACCCCAACAACATAATACACAAGTTTTTCCTCTTCAGGATGTTAAACTGAAAAGGCTAATGAAACTTTCCAATTTCAGAAACAATTTAAGTTATACATAAGCAAAATACATGTAGCATCAGTGATACTGTAGGTAAAGCCATGTTCCATTTGAGGTACAGGCCCACTAGACCATTCTTCATTTGCATCTTCTTATACCTTATCCATAACTTAAGAACAGTAGCACTGCCCTCCCATTGTTCATCGATTTGCTCGAGCGGGCCCAGTAATGTCTCCATTGTGAAACTTATTATCACTGTGTTTGGCATATCAAATACATCAGAGGTAGCTTGCCAGGCGTTGCTGTGTGGGCGAGATACTCTCGATAGGTGCTGTGCTCTCCGAGAGGGGCGGAAGAATCGAACCGGACTCAGCTGGACCAGCTGCGTGCAAGGCAAACACCTTACTGCTGTGCTATCGCTCCAGCCCTGCGCGATAGCACAGCGGGTAGGGCGTTCGCCTTACACGCGGCCAACATGGCCGACCCGAGTTCGATTCCTCCGCCCCTCTTGGAGAGCCCGGCAAGCTACCGAGAGTATTCGATATGCCAGACACAGTAACAACAAAGTCTCCAATGGAGACATTACTGGGCCCGCTCGAGCAAATCGACGATCAACGGGAGGGCCTTTACCTTTACCTTACCTTATACCTTATCCATAGAAGGAAATTAGCCTGGAATGAAGCTGCCAGGTATCTTTGGAAAATCACAGGTGGCATACTACACATGTCTCATTTGACTCCACTGCATAAAGGGAGAGAGGGATGTGATTGAGTAATCAGCGTCTGGTTCATCTGTAAGTGGTACTTGTAGGCTTCTATCAGAGTTTATCTCAGTTTCTGGATTTTGGTGACAATAGTAACAGGGTTTCTTATTTGCCTCCCTTTAAAAAAACATGCATATCAGGTTAAATTTCTATTAGTAGCTTAAGATTCTGTTGAAGAAACATAGTCCTTTGTGTATCTGCGTTTCATATGTATACTCTGGAAAACATTGAGTGGTTTTCTCAGGATGTTCTGTGAGCATGTGGTTGTTTGAAAGTAGTATTCTGATTATCCAATATTCAATCACTGGACTTCTCCCTCTTTCTCTGTTCTTCTGCATGGCTTTCAACCAAATAATTCACCTGCTTGATTGCATCACAGACTTGACATATCACCTTTCTTGTTTATGTCCTTTGTCACCCACAGGTCAGCTTGCAAGGTTGAATACAATATCCTTTTATCACTCTCCTCTCAAGTAAGTACCATCTTATTTAAGAGGAACTGCAGCCACTGTTCACTGAATTCTGATAACTTGTAACCTAAATTCACAATCACTCTCTTAGGTATTTCCATGTGCTCAAATATCATACATTCCTTCTCCCTTTCTGATATCAAGAATACTGCATTCATGAATATTTTATTTTGTTTTATTTTATTGCATTGGAGGTTTGTCAGACACTCTTAGTTGACTCTTGACCCTAATAATTAGGAAAGTTAGGGCAAGAGTGTCTAATAATCTTGCCTATGAAGTCACAACATCAATCCATAGCAACATCCAAATGCACAGCCTTCTAGCACCTGAGATGAAAAAGTTCAAGTTATCACTATACTTACCAGGTATGGTTCAGCTCCTTGATCATTCAATACCCAGAGCCCAATGATCAAATATGTGTATCTCTTAACAATGAAACTAAAACCATGTATTATTAAAGAAAAAGGCCATGACATAATGTAGAATTTTTATAGCTTTATGTTTTTTAAGTAGCTGATTCTGATTATACTTTGTGGGATTTTTCAAAATGTAAAATTACTTTAAATACCACTTATATGGTATATGATCTTCAACAACCCCACTGAGGTTTTCCTAAATACATGCAAAATCCTCAAACTTTTTTCAATGTAGAGAGAATAGCACTTGGCCTAGAAGTTGATCTGAGTGAAAAGCAAATCACTTGATCTTAAGTATCCTAACCACACAACCTTGGGCAAAGTATTGAACTTCTAGGAATAGAGCCTCCCTTTTCATTGTACAATATACAAACTTCATAGAAGAGTCATCTTCATAGTTTATAACCCTATGAGGACCATTTTAAAAGCACTTCACGTAGTAGCAGACCCGCTATTATTTTACACATAGAAATGTTTGCCACTCTGCTTGGTCTTTTACCAACAATTCAATCTCTGGAATCTACTGTTAATATTATGTAGTGTTATGTAAGTACATGAGAGTCCCAGGACACAGGATAACTTTTTTCTCTTATACTCATTTTAAATCAATTTATTTATTGGGCAGGGGGCTCCTCAACAGTTCTAAGGGAGCTCAAGGATTACTCCTATAAATACTCAACAAATGAGACTTGGTGGTTTAGTACTATGTCCAAGGATGCAGTGCTGTTCAGGTCCTGTTGTGCCAGGGACCACCAGACCACCCTACTGGTGCTCTGGACCTCTGGGACTACACCTAGCAACACTCAGGAGGTCTTGTAGTGCTTAGGATCAGATCTTGTTGAGGGCATATGTGCCCTAACATTACCTGCCCTAGCTACAAACTCCATCTTTGACAGCTCTTTAACTAGATTGTCCCATACATCTATGTGACGCCTTTGGTTCTACATCATAGCCATTTAGATGTCTCCTGTTGTAGTTCAAAAGTAATACAATTTCATAGTCATTTGGCTGCCTACATTAGTTATACAGCATTTACCAGTTATGGACTCCTATTAGTCTACAGTGCAGTTGATCATGAACTCAACTAAGGCTACCTAACTTTAAGAGCATATATAAATTTCCTAAATGACATTCAATTAGTAGAAAAATACATTTTAGCCTGAGTTCTACTAATACCCTCCTGTTTCACAGTAGGCATGTAAAATGGCATATTTTCTTGTTAAATAGACTGATAAAAATAGAACTTATGTTTTGTTGGTTTGAAAGGAAGGAGGTTTTTTTGACCATATTCTATTCCCTTTTCCTCAGATCTGAGAATGTTAAACCACTGCTCTCCTGATTGATTATGACTACAGAAATTCCCAGGAGTGGCTTCTAAAAATATTCATTCCAGTTATTTAAAAAAAAAATAGCCCCAAAGGAACAAGCTTTTTCCCTTAGTAGCATTTTTATCCTTTTTTATCATTTTTTATCTGTGTGTTATTTAAACATCAGTAGCTACTTCTTTGAAAAATGTATTTTTAAGTCATCCAATAGAATGTCCTTGACATATGGCCAGATAAAAGTAGCATTTGGTTCTTTTACATAAATTCCAAAGATTTTAGTACTCTCAAAGTTTATGGGCCATTTTAAAATCTTTTATTGCCAATCTGGCACCAGAAAATTAAAAACAGTCATGACCTCTACCCTTTAACTGTACTGTGGCCTGCCTAGCTGGCAACCCATGGTACTCAGCCTGAACTGGATTGGAAAATTAGGAAAAAGTCACCTAAGACCTGATGAAAAAAATGTACCAGTTTCTGGTGTGGTTCATCTCTGAAGCTTTCCACCTTAATGTAACCAAGAAATACAGCTGATGTTTTAGAAGTTTGTACATAAAATGTATGGTAGGAAGATGGCTCAGGATTAGAGAGCATGCTTTGTATATGTGAGCCCCCAAATTTGATTCCCAGTTTAGTCCACATTCTGAGCACCATCAGGTACATTCCTGGTGGTCCCAAGCAGCTGGACCCCAAAATCAAATCATTCAACCCAGTTTTATAAGTATTACTGGGAATGGCCTCCTGATAATTGCTTTGAAGACCCCACCCAAAAACATGTATTTGTGGAGCCAGAGAGATAAAGATTTGCCTTGCACATGCCTGCAGCAGCCTCAACCCTGGTTTAAATCCCCAACATCACATGTGGTCCCTAAACTACCACCAGGGTTCACTCCTGAGCACAGAGGAGATAATTGTCCATGGCCCAAATTCTAATTTATCTGTTTGAATTTTCTGGTTGTGCTCTAAATTAAGAGAAAAATGTGGGACATCAGAGACCAGGGAGACCCAGTCTCTGCTCAAAGAGCTTTAGTCCTCTTTGAAAATAAATAGTCACTCTTGCTCGAGTGCTAGTAAGAGCAGAGAGCAAATTTTAGTTTATTGAAGTTTGGTTCACCACTTTGGAAGAGACAGTATTGTCATAGGAAAGGAAGTGTGTGTGTGTGTGTGTGTGTGTGTGTGTGTGTGTGTGTGTGAGAGAGAGAGAGAGAGAGAGAGAGTGTGTGTGTGCATATGTGTGTATGTGCTTGGAGGAAGGGCTTCATCACCCTAATTTAGAGAACAGTTTTCATCTTTAAAAAAATTACACATTCCTTATTCCCAGGCAAGCTATAGTCAGACAGATGATGAAGGTAACATGAAAACTGATGATGAAGGAAAGCGCTGTGTGTACCCACAGAGGAGAAGACAGCAGCCTGGCAGCAACCTCATCGAAGAGAGAAATCACCACCATACGCACCCGCTCCCAGCAGACCCCCATCCCTAAGATGTATTCTGCCGACCATAGTGCAGCTAACTTATTTGTTCTAAAATTTGTAGTTCATAGGTGTGTGTTTGGAGAAGAAAAACAAAAACAAGATTTCTGTTGGATGCTAACATAGCTACATCTTCTGTAACATGACTCATCCCCTGGTTAAAATAAAACAGGCTGAAAACCCCAGCTGCCATTTGTCACAGTGGCAGTGTTAACAAGCATCTCAGACCTTTGCACATGATACTGAACCTGTTTTGTTTACAATGACACTATTAATAACTGTTTATAGCTAGAAATTTGATTTCTGGAATTCTTTGAGATTTTAGCAAAACTGTTTCTTATACACTGTAATCCCCCTCCCCCATGGCAATTGGGAAAAAAAAAAACAATCATTACCATAGTCATTGAAACCCTAAAGGATTTGGTTCCTGAATAGTCAGGCTTAGAGCCTGGATACCAAGGTCCTTGGCCTGCATAACCCGCTGTTGTGTCCAAGTGTGGACTTGGGCTGATCATACCAAGAGAATCCAGTCTCGGGGGCCTCTTTCCAACCTGGGGTGTTTTTTTTTCTTTCAAGATACTCTAATGAAATCAGCCATAGAACTTAGTGTAAATATTTTTTCCGAATAGATAACATATTCAAGACAAAAAAAGGCAACATTCAAATTATATAGAATCTAGTTTTTAAAATCAGCACAGATCTTCTTAAAAACTGTGAACTATGTTTTGAAATACTCGTTACTAAGCTGTTTATAAACCACAGGTGCCATAAGATCCACAATGGACTCAAGTTCTCCACACCCTTCCATGGTCTTGTTCCTCTCGTCGTAGCTTTAGGGAGCATGCCTCTAACCGCACTGCTCATTCATTCACAAGTTCCCTTATCAGGTTGTTTGGAGGCCTTCAGCTTTAAATGTACAGGCTTAAAGTGCGCTTGCAAACGTTCACTATCCTTTCCTTTCTGAATGTGTATTGCCTTAGCCTGCTACCTGGTGTTCTGCATGCAGCCTTCTGTGGTCATGTGAGAGGAAATAGGTTCAAGTGGGATTTTGCACTCAGTGAAAAGCCTCCGTGCAAAAAGACTGTCCGAGAAGGGAGTACGAGAGATACTGGGGGTGGTCTTCTCTGATAGCCCTGCTTGGGGGGCACAGAGGACTTCCCTTAGAGATTTTGGCAAAATTGAGAGTAATCATCTTTTGCTTGTTTCAAGATTTGGTAACACTGAAAAAAAAAGAACCTTGCAACTTACTAGGGTTAGTAAAGTAGCTTGGCAGCTTCTCTGGAATTCCTTTTTCCTTTAAAAAAAATAGAGAACATTTTAGAATATTGTCAAAGGGTGTTAGCTGGACTAACAGCATCCCCATCACCTGGAAATTTATTAGAAACAAACACTGTGCCCCAATCTAGGGTCTACAGAATCAGAAACTCTGGAGGTCAAGCCCAGAAATCTGTGTTTTAAGAAGACCTGCAGGTGACTAATAGATACTACAGGCTGAGAAACATTGCTATAGAATAAAATTACATCATAAAAATGTCTGTAAAAGCCTTATTCAAAATTAGTAAGAGGTTCTGAGTCAACCTCAACGCTGTTGCAACTTATTTTGCTTTCAGGACTGGCATAAACTTTTTCCTATCCCGCCTAGTTCATTAGCTGGTGGGTGTCCAGCTGAGAACAAATCTGACATCTTCAAGCTTCCTCTTCAAGATGTCCCTGCCTCTGCAGTTGGTCACACGCCCATCTCCTTAGCTACCCTTTGGAACAAAATCGCTTGCCTGAGAGCTTGTATAGCTCTTGGTTGGCCTTAGTAAGGAACCCATTCCAGCCATGGATGGAATTCACCCTATTCCCCTCCAGAGAACCAGCCTGAGAGGCGCCCTAGAGAACAGGCTGATACCAAAGTGGCACAACTGCACAGTTCTCAGATTTCTTTGCACAGATGGATTTGATTGCAAGTTTTGTTGGTCGAGTTTAATGTTTATCTCCTTCCCACTGCCCATCCGCTGTTGGAGCTGCACATCTCTTGATGGTGCAGGTGGCCACACGTGCCTCATACTCAGTACTTAAAACCACTACATCCCAGCTACCTACATTGCTGTCAGCTCTAAGATATAGCCAGGTTGTTCTTGAAAACGGAACTCTGGCCCTGTGGTAATGAACCACGAACTGGAAGGAGCTGATCTCTATTGTCACTTTGTCTTTCTACATAGATGTTTGTTGAAGGTGTGAACTGTTTTACTGATAACCTCCCCCTTGTCATAGCTTTCATTGACAGCTTCGTCACAAGTTGTTGATTCCATCGTACAAAGCCACTGCAAGGACTCTGGAAATTGCTGCCCATGACCAATTCCTGACTAACCAGCCACCTTTTCTTTCTCTTAGCTCCACGTCAGCACTGAGACCAGACTCAAGCACCCCTGTCCTGTAACCGAGACAAAATGGCGTGTATTATTTTGGGGTTTTGTATTTTTGGGTGGCTTTATTTCCTTGGCTCTCCAAATTTACTTTTGGGGCCTGTCCTAAGTGCATACCCAGCAGGTTTTCTCTGCCCTGTCCATTAGATACCATTATATCTCACAGAGGGCATTTATGTCTTTCCACGATGAATTCCACACCCATCTCCATCAGAGATGATGGCCTATTCTTGAGCACAGGTCTAACACAACCACTCCCTCCCACACAGAACCACGTCGATGAGGGAGGAAAGAGGGTGAAACCTACTGTATGGGATTCAGGAATCAGTTGTGTGGTTGGTCTGGATGGAAGTCGGGGTAAGTTTGGTTGGTCAGAGAGAGATGTGCTGGAGATTGTGAAAAAATGGATTCTTGAATGATCTATTTTAAGGCAGGGAAGGTTCCTTTGTAAGTAGTAATGTGAACTGAATTGCATAAGAGTGTGGCCTTTGTTGTGATATACTCTGTATTTTCTTATATGCATGAGCCAAAGTGTTGCATCATAAGTTGGCACTGATGTCCACTTTTATTTTAATCATCTTTGTTCACCCTTATTAGTTCTTGGCTGTTAACTGTAGATAGCCCTTGTAAATACAGCAACCTTTGGTTGCTGCAATCACTTTGGTTGATTCCACGCAAGGAGCCACAAACAAAAACTACACTGTGTCCTCAGAAGATAGGGTATTTTTACTTTTGAACCAAAAAGAAAAAAAAAGAAGCACTACATCTCAAGGCTAATTAACTGTAAGGCATTTTTAATTATGACTACTGTAATTTGACACCATTTGAAATAACCAATTCAGAGACACTAAAAATTTCACAATATTCATTGGTATTGTAATAAAACTACTATTGTATGGATTTTTTTGTAATGCTGTTAAGTATTGTTTTGTGTGTGTATGTGTGTATTGGAACCTCCTGGGGACATGTTCTATTTTGAAGTGATTAAACTATTTAATTGTGTGTCTATATTTTGGAATGAAATTATTTCTTCATTAAAAAATGTTTTTTTAAATGCTATAGCTTTTGTATTTTATTCCCTTGCTTCTGTGTATCCTTAAAGCTGCTTGGAATAATACACCTTCTCTTTGGAATAAAATAAGTCCAAAGTATGAAACAGACCTATAACAAATCATATAAAACCTATGATTAGGTTTTCAGCACCTGAGGCAAAATTTTTCCCTGTCTTTAGGAACATGATTTTTTTTAAATGATACTATTCTGTTGTTTATGGAAAGCCGTGTTATAATCATGGATTGTAGTGAGTGTGAGATACACATACTAACCTCTCTGGTATAACTTCTCCAGAGCTTACTCTAGATCAGATTCTGATATTGCTACTTCCTGTTACTTCACTTGGTCCTTTGAACCTGTAACGTCTAGTCAGATAATTGGAAAATATTAAGGGCTCCTCAATGATTTCTTTCAGTGAATGAGTTGCATTTGTTTTGAATATGCTAGCACTACTGTCAAAGAAGAGTGAAACTTCCCTGGAGGTCACAGTGGGTAGCAACAAGAATCAACATAATCAACATACACTTGCCAAGGAAAGGACCAACTCCAGTTGTCCAGTTGTGGAGAATTTATTCATCCCTTCATTTTCATTTCTTGTCCCACAACTCCTGTGAACCCCTCGTAATGAAAAAGAGCATATTTTCTTTTCTCAGGAGCCAATTTCATTTGTAGAACCAAAAACACAAGAAAGTTACAGGGGGGAGGGGTGTTGCCTTGCACATAGCAGACCCAGGTTCTATCCCCAACTCAGGTTCAGTCTCCAACTCAGGTTCAATCCCCAGCATCCCATATGGTTCACCCGTGCACCACCAGGAGTAATTCCTGAGTACAGAGCAAGGAGTGACCCCTGAGCAGTGCTTGGTGTGACCCAAAAAGTTAAAAAAAAACCTTTGGGACTGGCACCACCATTTTATGAACGAAATCTTGGGGACATCTGACTTAAATGGTGAAAGTCTGTGCTCCCAGAGTCCATCTGAGGCTAATGTAGACTCTGAAAATAATCCCAAACTTGGCTTTACAAGAGGCTAAGAGACAATGGGGCAATACTGGGGCATATGGTGAAATATATAACCTTTAATATAATATGGGTCCTTAATATAAACAGTTTCCACCAGTCTAAGCAGGTATGAAATGTGTTACTCATCTTGTTAATTTAGGGTCTATTAGTGTTACTAAAGAATCTTTGATTATATGGGAATCCTCTGATATTTTTAATAAAACAAAAATACTCAAAAATACCTTTTTCTGTTAAAAAAAACCCCACAGAATGAACTATACTTAACTCTATGCTATGTTCCTCCTTGATTGGAAAGTAGAAGAGAAACTCCCCAGCAAGGTCTTTTTCACTTCGTTAAGAATTTATTGGAAAGTAGTGACCTGATGAGATCATTCTGTTTGGGAAGATTGAAAATAGGGTAAGGGAGTCCCTGAAGGAATACTTAGTTTGGAAAACTTGTCTGACCATGTTATTCCCTTCCTACCTGAAATGTGGTCCAGGAGCCAACAGTATGAGTATCTCCCCAGAGCTAGTTACAAATGCTGAATTTCAGGCTCCAAGTCAGAGCTGAATGAGTGAATGAGTGTTCCCAGCACCTGATTTCCATTCCAAGCGTGGGAATGGGAATCCCATGCTTGGATTCAAAGGGCTGAGAAACAGTGAGGAGTAAGGCAGAATAGGCGAGTAGCAGGGCCCTGGTTCCCTAACACTGGTATGGTTCTGATATGAAAAGCTACAGAAGCGCGACTCCTGTAACTACTTAATCTCTGCTGTTCCTCCCATAGGAAACATCTTTAAAACTGGCTTATCGCAAGGGATGTTTGTCCTGATATATACTAATGCCCCTGGATGGGTAAAAATTTGGCCTGCATAAATTAGGATAAGCAATTGACCAAAGAATGTTGCTGTTCTAATGATT